TAAATCACTAGTTCCCATTTCCCATATGAAAGATTCCTTGGTAATTTAGACTTCTTCACTAAATGACAAACTAGCAAACCCCACGATTCAATCCTCAATTCCACATTGGACCTGTATCCTACAGAAGCTGAGAGAGAGTTGGAGGAGAAGTCAATCCATCACACCTTTTCATTCCCCAGGCTTCTATTTGTACCACCCTCAGATCTCATATCTAATCAAGTAGACAGTTACAATAAAATCATACTTTCTGACACTCTCCAACCACCTTCGTGATATGGCCTATAGGTATAAAACTATAAACATGCATGATAGGAACATACTAACTACAGCTCTTTTCTCACTCTCTCTTTCTCTTCTCTTCTTTGTTCTCTTTTGTTGTTTTTCTTTTTTTCTTTTTCTTTTATTTTTCTTTGTTGAATACACATCAGAACACAGCTCGACTGTAAATCCTTTCAGCCAAGTGGGATAATCCTGCTAAAGCTTGGAAAGGGTGTCATCCTCTTCAAGTAAGCCCAGTATTTTAAAAGCGTTGTACGCAAAAAAAAATAAATAAATAAAACACACACACAAGGGTCATTTTGTGCCCGAGATGCAAGGCAAGGCACAAAAATGTAAAAAATGCTAAAACATTCAACAAAAAAGGCAAGAATATTCAAAAACATGCAAAGTATTAAAAAAATAAAAATATTAAACACATTAATTAAAAATATAAACTTATTTTTTAAATAAATGATTTAAAACCTATTATCTCAAATTAAAATAGATAAACATAACATGTAAAACATATTTAAAATGAAAATTTAAAAATAAAATCAAGCATAACATATAAAGCATATTCAAGCATGTAAGCTCTTAATCTCTTTATTTTTTCCCAAATGCATTACTTCAAATAACTATTGTGATTTTAAACATTATGCATTCCTGATTCTACAAGCCACCTTTGTACGCCCCTTGAGGCATTTGACCAAAAAAGCCCCTTGAGGAAAGCCCAAAAAAGTTCATATCAGGGTTTTAAATTCTTAATCATAAATAAAAGATATTTTTAAAAGGCATATTTGCTAATGTTACTCATTCATTCATCCTAATAAAAGATATTTTTAAAAGACACTTAAAAGTTATAAAACCTTTTTTATAGGGATTAAGAATTTAAGACCTTGATATGGACTTGTTTGGGCTTGCCTCAAGGGGCCTGGTAGGGGGTCAAGGGGCAGAGCCTCCAGCCCAGTTGCTAAGCGCAAAAAAAAAGAAAAAAAATGCACAGATTTTCAAAAGGCACACACCTAGGCTAAAGAACAAGGCGCACAGCACATGCCTTTTGAAAGTGTTGCACCTAGAACCTAGGCAAGGTGCATGCCCTAAAATCTGTCTCGCCTATGTGCCTTTTAAATCATTGGGTAAGCCAATCCATTCTACTAGTACTTCAATTGAAACCTTGCCACCTTCCAAACCCATTGAAAATCAACTGTATGTTGAACTAATAACTTGCCTTCGTCATCTAGAATAGGTAGAGAGGAGCAGGCCATCTTGTTGCTCTTCAAATATTTCTTCAAGAGTGCCATGTGAAAGGTCGGATGTATTTTTGAGGTCACTAGAAACTCCACTTTATACACCATCATCCCAATCTTTTCTAGGATCTAATAAGGTCCATAATAACTGGGAGTCAATTTATGGCAGGGCAAAGAAGCTACAAGTCTGCCTGTACGGTTTCAACTGATAATAAACCCATTCACCAACTTGAAGTCATCTTGTTGATGTTACCTGTCATGTCTCCATGGTCTATTGTGCCAGCCTCAGGTTGGCCTTCAACTCTTGCAGAACCTAATCTTGGGCTAGCAATTGTTCCTCTACCGATGCAACTGCTATACAGCCATACTCAAAGGGTAGAATTGAAGGAGGTTCCCACCAAACAACGCCTAGAATGGTGTCATACTGACAGCTATTTGGTATGTGGTGTTATACCATAGCCCAGCCCAAGGTAGCCATTTCATCCATTGCTAGGGCCTTTCACTAGCAAAGCATTCGGGTAAGTTTCAAGACACTAGTTGACCACCTCCATCAGCCCATTGGATTGGGGGTGGTAGCTAGTAGAACAGTGAGGTTGAGACCCTAGCAGCCTGAAGTATTTGCTCCAAAATCTGCCCATGAACACTAAGTCACAATCTAAAACTACGGTCCTGGATGTACCGTGCAATTTGGCCACATCTCTAATAAACACCTCTATAACCATGACTGCATATAAGGATGCAGAAGACCTGAGAAATGCCCATATTTAGTTAGTAAATAACCACTAATAATGATAGATTTTCCAGATGATGTTGGCAAACCAGTTATGGAATTCATCAAAGTATCTTCCCAGACCTGTTCTGGAATCTGTAATGCTTGTAGCAGGCCGGTTGGAGTGAAGAGTAGAGTACTTGTGCTACTACTAGTAGGTGGGGCAATTGACTACATACTCCTGAGTTTCTTTGCGCATTTCCCACCAAAAATAAGGGCAACTAGCCTTCTATAGGTCCTTAAGACCTCCAAGTGGCCTCCAACCACCACTGAGTCATAAAAAAGCTTAAGTCAGGTAGGTGGGCCAACCAGGCTGATATTATGAGCCTACCTTTATGATGTAGATCAGAGCCCACTATTTTATAGCCTGGAACCAAAAGTGGCTTTGAGCTCAGCTGCTCATGTAGCTTGAATAATTATGGGTCATTTTGGGCCTGATTTGCAGCTCTTTGCAACAAAGGGAATACGGGCTTGGATTCCATTAGCTGTGATAATTCCAGTGTTTTAAAAGTGCAAAAGGCTTTTTGCCCCTAAGGGCAAGGCACAAGGCAAGACATACACCTTTTTGAAGCAACATGCAAAATTCAAAAAAAAAAAAAAAAATTAAAATTCAAAATAAATCAAATATTAAATATAAACCTTAAGTTTAAACTAAATGATTTAAAAAGCCTATTAGCTCAAATTAAAATGCATAAACATAACACATAAAACATATTCAAAGTGAAAATGCAAAAAATAAAATCAAACATAAAATATTTAAGATATTCAAGCATGTGAAATGTTCAATCTTTTTTTCTTTCCCAATCGCATTATGCATTCCTAATTCTACAAGCCACCTTTGTACCAAGCCTTTTGAGGCGATCCCAAACAAGTCTATGTTGGCTCACTTCAACAAGAGCCCCCCTTTCAACTAATGTTATGCATCTTTATTCTTCTTAATATAAAAGATTTTTATTAAAAATAAAGAAAAAATGAGATCCCCCTTCCTCCTTTTTAACCCCCCTCTTAAGGAGGCTTATGCCTCTTTGTGTCCGAGAGGCTTACGCCTCTTGCGTTCTGAACTAAGCCTCACGCCTCTAGGTAGTGGAACGCCTCGCGTCACACCTCTGTTTTAAAACATTGGTGTATAATGTTAAAAATCAACATATATGGAGTACTTTACTAGTTCATACTTGTCTACAGACGTGTCCATAAGTCCTTGTTTCTCTGTCTTGTCAAGTCAGACTTCCAATTCCCAAACACACCATGGATTCCAATTCATGTCTATGTCCATGCATACTATTAGCCATTGAAAGTTTCTATCTTTTTAATATTAGACTTACCAAAAAAAGATGGGTGGCTTCAGATAGCTTTTTTAAGGTAATAAACAATACATAACAGGGGGGTTAAGGGGTGAGACAGAGCAGGGTGAACATGAGGTCCACAACCTTACCACCAAGAGCCTGCAGTTATGAGGGTTTGATCCCTCATCTCCATTTTCAGAGGGACCCCCCAAGTGGCCATCTCAGCTACTGGTTCATTAGCATGCCAAGGGTTTCTGATAGACGCACTAGAAAGGCAAGATGTAGGCAGAAATCAACTGCATTGGAGATTAATTTCTTAAGTGGAAAACTTAGAAAAAAAAACATGAAAAATAAAAGATGGATAACAAGTTTGTTAGCCCAATTTTAGGGTGTTATGGAACATTTTATGCATGTACAGAATTCTTTTATCCATTAATTAATAAAACCTTGACTGTTACTGATCAAAAATCATTGCGCCGCTAGTACAAGAAAGCAAGACTGCGTTTGGGAGTGCTTTTTGGACTACACATCCCAAGAGGAACTTGTGGAACCATTTTTGGCCATGAACCACATCGCCATATGTTACTCTCCTTAGTCATTCAGCTTTCCTTGTTAAACAACTATTTATGTACGTGCTTATCAATCATATGTCCTGACTTATACTGGTAGTTTTAATAACTAAAGTTAACTGATCAAAGTTGTACTCTTTAATATAAAACGTACCTATAAATGTGGACTTATTTTGCACAATGTAAGGTGTTTTAGGCCAAATTTACAGGGTTGAGAAGGAACCTGGAGACTCCTTTGAGCTCCAAAAATGTAAAATAAAAGCTTATTAGATAACACAACTAGAAAACTGTGTGTGAAGCAATTTAGGCATCTCAGGAATCTTACATGTAGAACATGTTGTGATGGTCAAAAGAGCTCTACTTGTTTACTACATGGGTTTTCCAGAGAAGTGTTGCCAAGAGACTTAATGGGCTCAGAAATCATATAGTGGCAGCTTTGGTGGCATCCAAAAGTGCTCCATGTGTTTGCAACACCACACATTGTTCCAGTCCAATAGACCCCAAGTGGCAGAACAAACTTTCAGATCTTCAATGGTTGTAATGTCAAGGGGAAAGGTTCAATAAAATGTGGGTCATAGAACTGGCACTGACTGAAGGAAATAACACTCCAAAGTTCTAAAAACTCATCTGCCAATCAACCCAGTAAGAAAGAAAGAGGTCTAATCCAACCCAAATCAATCAGGCAGAAAAACCAGGTCAGTCATTGAACCAAATAGGAGGTCAGATGTGGTTAACAACGGCAGTGCAAGGCAAATTACTTCAAGAATGAATTCCTTGTTATTATATTATTCAAACTAGAGAGACCAGATCACCATTGCTTCGAAATAGAACTTGCAAAATATGAAAGCAAATGTTCAGCATGCAAAAAATTTACCTTTTAATGGATCCAGGGCTGGAGGATATTTATTTCCATTAGATTTCAGATCTAATAGCTGCTGAACTGTTTTTGAGTATGCTGCATTACTGACTGCTTCAAGAAGCCCAAATTGATCAATTTTTATTTTGCAGTTGCATATGCTTAAGAACTCTCTGTGCTCAACTCCTCTGACCTCATAATTTACACCAGCTGCACTACCATGGTGTGGTAATTTGATATTGATATTTGTAGTACTTGATCCTTTGCGAGAACCAGCAATTGTAAAGTAGTCCTCATCTAGACCACGTTTTGATTTGGGAGCAATATAATAACCTTGTTGAGAATTACTATTTTCTTTCTCTAGTGATTTATCACTAGCTGAATATGATGGCAGTTCAGGTCTCAATACTAGAACAATGTACTGCTTAGTAGTAGCAGCAGCAAATGGTGCTTTCAATACTACTCCAAGTAAGTGGTCTTGGGCCTGTCAATTGTTAATGAAATTCATTCAGCAAAGCTAATTACAGTAGTAAAAATTACAGTGCCATTTAAAAGGGCAAGAGGAAAAGTTTGCACAAACAATATAACAATCCTCTTTGCGCACACACACAATATTTCTCAAGCCCAATTGGAATTGCAGACTCTCTAAGACAAAAGGAAAAGTTTTCACAAACAATATAACAATCTCAGAAGATTATAAAGCAATGGTAAAAACAAAATAAAAAACCTACAAGGCACCATATCTGAATCCTCTTTGCATAAACACACACACAGACCCTGAAAGATCAGGGTTTTAGAATAATTTCTCGGGCCCAATTGGAACTACAGACTCTCTAAGACTAGAATTATTGGCAGTAATACAAGCTGTACAAAGGGCAAAATAAATGCAATCAGATAATCTAATTATGGAAGGGGACTCCAAGGTGGTAATTAGTAGGTTATTAAATAATGAAATAGAATTATGGACTTACAGAAATAAAATAAAGAAATTCAAGTGGTTAACAGGGGACATGAGAGTACAAATTCAATGGGTGCAAAGATCACTAAACAGCTAGGCAGATGCTTTAGGGGGTGGGTTGGGACCAAGTGTTTTGGGCACAGTTGTAATGCATGGGAAGAGAGATAGAGATCCTTCTATGCTCTATAAGCATTGATGTAAATATGTGCATATTGTATTAATTAATGAATAAAGATGTTTGTTATTGATCCAAAAAGTTATAAAACTGTAAGATAATTTCCTTTTACACACATACACACATGAAAAAAGTTAAGGATGCAATGGAGAGGTGCAAATTAGAGTCCCAATCAAGTTATTCAAATTGCATGATGAGTAAATTAAATCATAAGACCAATGTTTTAAAATGTGGAGGCATGACACAAGGTGTTTCACTGCCTGGAAGCATGAAGTGTAGTTCAGAACGTAAGAGGCATAATTCTCCCAAGAACAAAGGAAGTGTAAGCCTCCTTAAGGGGATGAGGAGGAAGAAGGAGAAAGAGGATCTCTTTTCTTATGAAAGAAATCTTGTATTAAGAAGAATGAAAACACATGTTGAGAATGTGTGAGGCTAAGGGTTTTTGGTCTTCTCTCTCTCAACTAAACCCTAAATCTTACAACTATGCATAACACTAGCTGAAAGAGGGGTCTCGTCGCAAGCGAGCAGTGCGGAGAAAGACCACCCGGGCACAAAAAAACCAAATTGGGCTGCAGTAAAAAGGTGTTAGGTGGGTGCCAAAAACCAAAAGACCAAGGGGATCCAAGGGCAGAGTCCCCAGCCCAAACCTTCTTTCCTACCCTTCCCCTTTCCTTTTTTGTTCTTTCTTTTTTCTTTTTCTTCTCTTTCCCTTCCCTTTCCTTTCTTTCTTTTCTTTCTTTCTACGTTTTTTGTATGGGGCATGCATGAGGCATACACCTCTAGGGGTGGTAAACTTTGGGTGGGATGTGAGGGAAGTGAGGTCATCTTATGGAGTAAGTGTGTAGAAGGGGATCATGAAGTTTAATTCTGTTAGAATGCTCGAGTCAGGGGTATTTTGGTCATTCTGGTGTATCTTCTAGAATGTGAAAGGTCTATTGTATCTGTGTTTAAGTTGTGTCCCATCTTCTATGAGGGACAAAATTGTCTTTCTTGTAACTCTAAGTTTTATGAATAAAATTCAAGTGGGTCGGCTAGGAGAGTGATTTTT